TGGGTGGGTGGGGTGGTCACGCCCATTTTTGGGCTCAGTTTCCCGCCGGCCCGGCCACATCCAGCCCGACTCCCTGGGGACAACCACGTGCCTTTAATCTGCTTTTTTCAACCCCAAAATCCCACCGGAGCCACGAGGCAAAGGCGGTTGGGAAAGGCTGGAAACGGAGCGATCCCGGGGGAAACAGTCCAGGAACGGGTCATTCCGCAGGAAAATGCTGGAAATGAGGCGATCGTGGAGGGAAGCAGCTGCAGAATGGGGCCAAACTGTTGGAAAAATGCTGGAAATGGGTTAAATCTTCATTAAAAATGCTGGAAATGGCGTGGTTGTGGAAGGAAGCAGCTGGAAAATGGGGGCAAAACTGCAGGAAAACTGCTGGAAATGGGTCGGATGTGCTGGAAATGGATTGGTCCTGGGTGGCATCTGCTGTCACTTCTCCCACATGCAGCCCTCGGTGTTGTGGTTTTGTGGCCTCTCCCCTTCCTGAGGGTGAAAAGGGGCCACATAGGGGTGAAACAGAACCAAAATGGGGGAAAGATGGGGCAGAAGTTCTAGTGGTTTCTTGCCAGACCCCCAAGCACCTTGGGGGGACCCAAGGGTCCAAGCAGCCTCCCCTGGTCCCCACGTCCTTTTGGTGGCAACCACAGGACCTAGATGTTTGGGTGCCCACCCAGCACCCCACAAGGACCCTTACTGTGACGTAGGTGATCTGTATCTCAGTGGTGGGCATCTCAGGAGGTTGTGCTCGTCGTCCCAGCGCCCTAAACCAGCGCCGGTAGTGCTCTGTCACCTACAGATGTGACCCACAGTCATGTCTTGAGTGTTCCCGTCCCCTCCCACCCATCCCTGGATGCCTGGATGTCCCCCCTTCCGTGGTACCTGCCGGTTGAGGACACAGTGCACAAGGAAGATGAAGGCTCCTTGTAGGCTGTTGACGATGGTGAAGATGAAGGCCACAACTATGTTGTCCCCCTGTGCCTGCATCAAGCCCAGACTCCACGTGCAGCCCAGGATACAGATGTGCACCAGCGCTTTGAACGTCATCAACCTGATGGAACACTCATTTTGCTCTTTTTTTCACCCAAAACCCCATCCCAGATGCTCTTCTTCCTCCCCCAAAAGAACTCAAGACATTTCCCACCAACGCAAAAACCCACCGGGTGTTTTTTAGGGCTGTGACATCAGCGTTGAGGGCAGAGAGTTTGTCCCGTAGAGTCCACAGGGTGGTGAGAAAAAACAGCAAATTAACCTGGGCAGAAAGCAAAACCCCATCATTTTGCAAGACAGAGTCCACAGGATGTAAATTTGGGGTGGAAAAGGGTCAATACTGCAAAAAAAACCCAACCTGGTGCTGGAGCACTGTGGTGTGACCTTCACCAAACACACCCAACCCATGGGATGTCTGCTTAATACCATCCTTAAATATGCATATGAATTTGCTCTTTTTTAATGCAAATCTCTACAGTTTCTCAGTTCGGGGTCTGTGGAGGGAGAGCTGTGGCCATGGTCAGAAATTAAAAATCATTAATGCACCGTGGTGCAACCTCTGCCCGGCACACACAGCTCGTGGGGCGTTTGCTTAATACTGTCCTTACAGTTAAGCCTAAATTTGCTCTTTTTCTCCCAGTTTTTCTCCCCTCTGCCTCCTTTCAGCAGCAAGACACCCACCAGGACGATGACGCAGACGGGACCAAGGAACGTCCAGATGAAACCTCCCTCCATGCTCAGCCAGCAGCTAAAAAAGGGCAAAAAAGGGTAGAATACTCCAAAAGCTCTTTGGTGATTTTGGCAGCATGAAAATACCATGTCTGGATGCTGTGGCACTTTTTTTTTGAGGTGATTTAGGCGAAAAAGCCTGATGTTCTCCATTGATGATCCCACCCCACTTGGTTGACCCCAGCCCGGGTGCTGGTGGGACTCACTAGTGCTCAGTGCCGTAGCCGCCTGGGTGGACGGCAGCGGAGATGGCCACCACAATGGCTGGCGTGCCGTAGCCCACGGGGTAGATGTATCTTTTCCTGAAGCGATTGGCGCTGGTGTAGTTGAGGACACTCAGGTTCCTGACAGTGAGGAAGAGGTGCAAACCTTCCAGGAACATCCAGGCGAAGCAGGCGAGGAAGAGGTAGTGGAGGAAACCCGCCATGATGGCACACACCAGCTGGATGGGGGACAACGAGGCCGTGCTGGGCTCCCCAGTGTCACCACAGTGTGGCCTGGGGAGGTGGTGGCATCTCTGGCACTTGGACTTCCACATGCCCCAACATGGCCTTGAGGAACCTCAAGGAAGTGGAGATGCTTTGGGCTGGGAGCAGACTGGAGACACCCAAATGTCTCTTCCAGGCTGTTATCCCATAATTCAGTTGGGTCCACCCACCCAAAGGAAGAAGGGACCCAAGACCCTTGAGGAACCCCAATTGGGTGAACTTGCTTTGAGTTGGGGTTGGTCTAGAGACCTCCAAACATTCTGTTCAGCCTTGGTTATCCTGTAATTCAGGTGCTTTCAGTCACCCAGAGAGAGATGGCACTGAGCAATTCTGAGGAACCTCAACTAGTTGGACCCACTTGGAGTGGAGATTGGTTTGGAGACCTCTAAACATCCTGTTCAACCTCATTTATCCTGTAATTCAGGTGCTGACACCCACCCAGAGCAAGAAGGGAACCAACAACCTTGAAGAACCTCAACTAATTTGCTCTGCTTTGAGTTGAGGTTGGACCAAACCTTCCAACCTCAGTTATGCAATAATGCATGTGCTTGCACCCACTCAGCACGAGATGGGACCTCTGGCAGAAGGTCTGCTGGAGATATTAGGGTAGGGGTTACAGCTGAGAGTGATGACTGTGGGTCCTTTTCCCCACAAGCTCCCCAAGGACCTTGAGGAGGTCCTGGATAGCTTGAGGAGGCCCCAAAGACCTTGTAGAGACCCAGAAGAGCAAAATGAGTTACTGAGGAGTCCCTGTTGGCCCCAGATTGCTCAAGGAGACCCTGAGGAGCCTGTGGAGAACCTGAGGAGGTTCAAGGAGATGCTCAGGAGCCTCTGAAGGCCTCAAGATGCTTAAGAAGACCCTGAGGAGCCTGTGGAGACCCCAAGGAGGCTCAAGGAGACCCTGAGGAGCCCATACCCGGTTGGCAGTGCGGGGCACGGCCACGAGGAAGAGGAGGTTGGCAGTGAAGAGGCAGATGCTGAGCTGCAGGTGGAGGATGACACTGACACTCCAGAGCGAGCGGCACAGGAGGAAGGTGATGATGGCGAGGAAGAGGCAGACCAGCGACACCGACAGCCCCACGTAGGTCACCACCATCAGCGCGAAGCTCTCCTGTGGGTGACATCATGTGTGACACCATCCGGCACCTGGCCACGTCCAACAGTTCAGGAAAGAAGAAAATATCCCCAAAATGGGTGTTTTTGGGGTCAAAACGGGACCTTACCGTGATGGGGTGGATGGCGGTGAGGATGGCGAAGGTGGAGAAGTGGGTGCAGGTGCAGATGGAGTGGTGGGTGTCACCTCCGACGTGGGTACAACCTGAGGACATCCAGTGACTTTCAGTGCCCACGGGCTGCCAGTACACACAGCGCGGCTTCTCGCCCGCCCGGAGCTCCTGGTGAGAACGGAACACTCGAGACACGTCCTGTGGCACCAGGGAAGGTCGGCACTGCCCCTTCCCACCCTCAGTTTGGGTGTGGAGTGGGACGGGGGTGCGCTGAGCTGGGATTTGCACTGGGATGGGGATGCACCGACCCCAGATTTGCACAGGATCGGGATTTGCATCAGAATGGGGATGCACTAACTCAACATTTGCAGAGGATCTGGATTTGCACCAGGATAAGGATGCACCAAACCCAGATTTGCAAGGGATCTGGATTTACACCAGGATTGGGATGTGCTGATCCCAGATTTGCACCAGGACTGGCATGCACTGATCCCAGATTTGCACCAGGACTGGCATGCACTGATCCCAGATTTGCACCAGGACTGGCATGCACTGATCCCAGATTTGCACTGCAATGGGGATGCACCAGCTCTAAATTTGCACGAGACCTGGATTTGAACCAGGATGGGGATGCTCCAAGTCTGGATTTACACTGGATCAAGATTCGTATCACGATAGGGATACACAAAACCCAAATTTGCAACAAGATGGGGATGCATCATCTCCAAATTTGCACGAGACCCAGATTTTCACCAGAACAGGGGTGCACCAACCCCAAATTTGTCCCAGAATGGGAATTCACCCCCAAATTCACCATCATCACGCTTCAAATTTACACCGTGGTGATGCCCATTGCCAACCCCACCATCCTTTGGTCCAACCCACTTGATGGAACAAACCCTGCTGTGCTTCCTCATGCAAATCCCACCCTCGTGCAAATCCCACCCTCGTGCACCCCCCAGCACCCACTGTACGGTGCTGCAGGGTGATGTTGAAGGTGATGTTGAAGGTGATGCTGGGTTGTCCCATGGTGCCGCCCACCACGTTGGAGTTGAGTTTCTCCTGGTGTAAATCCGTGATACTGTTCAGCAGCTCCTCTACCTCCTTGTAGACGATGAAGGCCACCACCCACTTACCTGTCCAGAGAACTGGGTCAAAAACCACCCCAAACCCACCAAATTTTGGGTGGGTTTTTTGAGCTTTTTTTTTCTTTTTTTGTAGGAGCAGTGTGGTGGTCTTACCTGCTTGGGCATTGCTTACCACCTCATGGCAGCTGATGGTCAGGTTCTCCTCACCCACCGCTAACACCAGCATGGTCTGGGAACAGTTGTCCTGCACCACCTCCACCACAGCATCTAATTTGGGGTGAAAAAAAGACCTTTTGTGTTTGGGGTTTTTTTCTTTTTTTCCACCTGCTCTGAGTACCAGAGCTCTGCTCTTGCAGAACCCAGAGATGATGCAGTGATGCCACCAAGCTGGTTCTTGAGGTTCTTAAATACTTTTGAGGACATTGCAATGTTTTTAGGGGTGTTGAAATGATTTTGGGGTGCTGCAATGATTTTTGGGGTACCGAAATGCTTTTAGGGTGCTGCAAGGATTCAAGGGTGGACCTTGGGGGGCACTCATGGGTGCTGGCTTACCCATGGTGGAGGTGGTGATGTTTTGGGAGCTGGAGTTGGGGTCTTTGAGGGCCGCTTGGAGCACAAGGGCTTCGGTGGTCTGCAGGAGGAGCTCAGTGGCTTTGGTGGTGTTGGAGTGGAGATCTTGGAAGGCTTCCACCTGCAGCTGCTTCAGCACAGACTGGGGGGTGGGGAGGCAAGGAGGGGCACACACGTGTGTTGTGGCACGTGTGTGTCAAGGCACATGCATGTGTCAGGGGTGTGTGTGTGGATGCAGCCCGGGGGAGGGTGTTAGGGGGGAGGGATGGGTGAGGATGGTGGGGGATGCACGGAAGGATGGACATGTGTAGGGATGCACGTGTGTGCAGGGATGAACATGGGATGGACGTGTAGGGGTGCACGCATGTACATGGGATGGACGTGTGTAGGAGTGCACACGTGTGCAGGGATGGACATGGGATGGATGTGTGTAGGGGATGCACATGATGATACATGAGTAGGGGTGCACACTGGGCATGGACACATGTGGGGGACAGACACAGGACGCACGTGTAGGGGATAGACACCGGGATGGACATGTGTAGGGGATCCACAGGAGGATGCACATGTGTAGGGGATGGACATGTGGGGAAACATGTAGAGGGGATGCACAGGAGGAAGCACACGGGATGCACACATGTAGGGGCTGGAGATGGGATGGACACATGTCAGGGCTGGACATGGGATGGATGCGTGGGGAAACATGTAGAGGGGATGCACACAGGATGCACACGCGTGTCCGTGTCCCCATGTCACCTGCAGCATGTCCCCCGTGGGGTGGGCGCAGGCGGCCTCCAGCCAGCGCTGGGTGTCCCGCAGGTGGGTGCAGGAGGTGACCCCCGGGAAGGACTGGGAGGGGGGGTCAGGGTGTCACCATCAACCTGCACCCCATGGGCGTCCGTCTGTCCATCCATCTGTCTGTCCCTCCAGCCTCCATCCTGCCCTCTGTCCATCCGTCCCTCCAACCATCCCCCTGTCCCTCCACGCCTCCCTCCCTCCCTCTCTCCCTCCATCCATTTGTCTGTCCCTCCATCCCTCTGTCCATCCCTCCTTCTGTCCCCCCGTCTGTCCCTCCATCCCCCCAACCATCCCTCTGTCCTTCCACCCTTCCCTCCATCCATTTGTCTGTCCCTCCCTCCATCCCTCCACCCTTCC